TAGACAGTGCTGAAATGGCTGCGCGCGTGTGTGCGTTTTTGTGTGCATCCATGATCTTGCTGCCAGCAGGAGTGAGCGAAAACCAATTTAATCACACAAAAAGCCTACAGAAACGCAACAGTTGAACCAATCTGGTCCGTGTTTGTCTGTCTGTGCCTGACAGAGAGTGAGAGAGGGGAGAGAGAGAGAGAAAGCACACAGAAAGAAAACAAGTAAGCAGACTTACCTTTTCAATGCAGGCGCTTGGTTCAGAGGAAGCGGGAAGGATGGCAGGTTTGACAGAGGCGGTGCTGGCGGAATTAGTGACAGCAGCTGCAGAAAGAATCTTTCGAACTTTGCCTCCTGGTGGTCTGCCGCGCTTGCCCAGATTCGGTGGACGACGAAGGACTATGCCTCTGCCGTTTGGAGCAATGGACACTACGTTGGTTGGTTTGTGGAGTGGAGACTTCCCACTCGTATCCAGGGCCGGAGCGATGGCAGGTTTGACAAACGGAGGTGGCATGGGTCCGACCTTGTTTCCGCCGCCGGGATAGAGAAGAGAACCCTTTGGTGGTAGAGGTCTCTTGTTGAGGAAGTTTATGGACGAGAGTGGGTAGCCGGGTCCAACACCCATACTCTTCTTGCGTTCGCCGGTCTCATCTAATACATACTGTCCGTTTGGCAGTCTGGCGAGCTTGCCGTAAGTGGCCTCACGTTCAAGGCTAATACGCAAGTTTGTGCCCGTCAATTCGCTGCAAAGAGGGGGTGCTGTGGTGCTGGTGGTTGTGGTGACGGCAGTGCCCTCAGTTGGCGCCTTTGAGGATGAGGACGATGAGGAGGAGGAAGAAGCTGATGATTGGGGACCAGATTCAATCCCACTGGAAGATGCAGAGGAGGTGGGCAACAAATTAGAGGCGGTTCTCTGTTGAAGAGCACGTTCAATCTGAAGCGAGGTAAAACCCACGGGAGACTGAGGAAAGCTCTCATCTGGTCCTTTAGGGGCGGTGGAGCTCAGTAGAAAGCGCATGGCATCAAGGATTCGACGACTGACGCTGGGTGGGTTCATCATGCCCAGGCCCGAGATTGCCGTTTTTCGCCATTTGGATGGATTCCTGTAGCTAAGGTTACCTTTGTAGTCCACACATACTACAGCACCGGTCTCGGCAAGGCGGCCCAAGCACAGCTGTGTCTCCGTTGGGGGTATGCTGTGTTGACGTTTGAGGAGGCAGGAGATGCGCTCAAAGTCCGGTCTCGCCTTTCTTTCCCTCAGTTTGTCGATGGCCTCCAAAATGAAACCACGATGAAATTCCGCAGATTCGAGAGCCAACAAATTGGAATTCACAGAATTTGCAGCCGAAGTTGTACTCTTGGCTCCCTGTAGTTCTAACTTGCTTTTAAGGGCTATGGGCCCTGAGGACTCAGACGAAGTCAGAATCCTCGGACAAGTTACCAAGTTAGACGCAGACGAAACACTTGCCAAGGGAAGGGAGGAATAAACCATCGTTGTTGAGGGCATCGTCAACATTGAACTAGTTAAACCACTCATGCTAGCCATTGGGATACCGGAAGACGATGTTGACATCGAGGCGGAGAGCACATCTGTGTAAATTGGAGTTACGTTTGTTCCACAGGCAGTGAAACATGGCGAATTTAGAAATGACGGAGCCACAGAAGTGTTACCCATTTCACTACTCATGGGGGTAGCCAGGACAACGGTCGCCGTTGGCGGACCAGAGAACAAAGAATTGGTGCTAACCCCCGGCATACCACCAGGATTGAACTGGGGAAAGTTGACGGAGTTTCCAGACACTAGGGCCTGAGGCTGTGTAACAAACATGGAGCCGTTTGCATTAAATGAGACGGACGGAAAGGTTCCTGGAGGGGTCTGCGCGAAGAGGGTTCCATTTGGGGAAGCAAAATATGGGAATAGGTGGGTTGGAAGGGGGCTTGAACCCGAGAAAGGTCCAGGGGGAAGCAGCGTAGGTGCATTCGTGAAGGCAGTACTATTAGACGGCATGAAAGTTGGCGCAAACACAGGGCCAGTCATGTTTTGCCGATTGGAGACACCGCCACCGGCGGATACGGCCAACAGAGCGGGTGGGGCAGCTGAAGATGGTGTAGATATGAC